TGCTCATGCCTGAAATGTTATCAAGTGACTTCAGTCAGCAAGGCTCTTGGCTTAGAAAAGGAAATGTTGGGGATAGGGAAGGAGATTTACAAAGACTGGGTGTGTCTCAACAAGTGTGAATTTAACAATGCTTCTCATCAGACAAATTAAACATCTTACAATACTCTTTCCCCTTTAGGTGCCTTCCTCTTCTGTTACTAGGTGGAAACCATTTAGCAACAGCTTTATTAACTGAGGATCAAGTTCCTCTGTGTTTCCTTCCTGCTCATTCCTTTTCCCTTCACACTTACATACACAGCATGCAGCTGTAGTGTACAGTCAAGAAGAAGGGGTTTAAAATATAAGTGCTAGGAATAGAAGTTCCACTCTGAATCATTTCCAGTCCTAACGCTTCTGAGTCTACAAAAATTCAGTTAGAGCTGCAGAAGCACTAATCATACTGAATTTATGTGTTCTTCATTATGTGAAGCTGCTTCAATTTACAAGCTGAGGGCACATCTGCTACTCACCTTCCACCTACACCTATATGCCCCCACACACTCTGTTCCACTTACAGGTTAATTTCCCAAAGTGCCTTGGAGCACACATTTAGCTGCTCTTAAAATGTGTCTGCATTACTGAGGTGCATGGTGGGATTAATGTTTGAATTGCGCAATAATTTGAAGAGGAAGGTCAGCAAATTAAGCCCCCTTTCTCAAAGCAGTTTCTTTTAAAACTGGTATTACACTAGCTTTTGCACAGATGTCAAATTTCATGTGTAGTCTATATATGTGTCTTGACATATGCATGCCTATATATACACATACAAACAATATGCATTGTGTCTAGTACTATTGTGTTCTAGTGGAAGCAAAAGTGAAAGGGAGGTAAAGGGGGAAGAGAGCAACAATTAAAACTTAGTTCTCTTGTTTGTCTAATTCACAAGCCAGAGGTTTTCACTGGAAACTTAAAAACCAGAGTGCTCTGTACTCTGTCAGTTCTCACATGAGCTGGGAGTCTCAGGGGCCGCAGTGGTAGCCATTGAACCTGACCTCCACCCAGGTAGGGTCATTTTAAATTGACTCTTGGCACATACACAAAAAAGGAAGGCAGAAGTAATTTGCTTTTGTCAGAGTTCTGCTTTCTTGACATTTGGGGAAATGTAACCTAAATAAAGAGGCAGATACAGAAGTACAGAAGGCACCAAAACTTTTTTTTTTTTTAACTGAAGAGTTGATGTGTAAATGCCAGCAGTGGGAGGAGAAAGAGGAAATAAGATGAAGAGAGGGAAGAGGGCCTACAGGCAGTGTAGGAAGACGATGGGAACAGGAAAAAAAACAGCATAGAAGGAAGAGGACTACCAGTAGCTAAACAAGTTCAAAATGCCCCATAGGCCTATATCGTTCTTCCCTGTGAATATTGTATGAAGCAGCATTTTACTCATTTCCCCATAGAGTATGGAACTAAAAACACTCCATGTCTCGAGATGGAACTGTTTTCTGTAATCCCTCCTATTGCTTCAGTACGAGAGCAGGCTCTCTCAGAAGCAGCATTACCTTCCCATCACCTTTATCGACATCCGACATTCTCTGCGGATATGTGAACTTATCCTTCCTTATGTACTCTCCCTCTCCACCTTTCATTTGTGCCTTACAGATGGAATTGAGATGTTCAGAGAGCAAGCTGGATTGAAGAGTTAAGGACAGGCATGCTTCACTCTTTGTTTCTGTCAGAGAAGAAGGAGCATGAGGAAATTCTTTCTGAAATTAATGGAGCAATTCACACCCTTCAGAGCTGTTGTTTCAAGTTGCATATATGTCTGAAGTCATATTCATCCCCATCTTGTATTCTCACTCAGTTCAGTATATCTGACTTTGATGAATATATCATTTCACACCCTTCTGAAAAGTCTTCAGTTTAAAGGTCAATTTCTTTGCAGTGCTGCATAATCCCCATGGTTACCTGATTGCCTTGAAATCTGGCATGGTTACCACAGGCAGTGAGTAGAATTATTGATCTAATTTAGAGGTCACATGAGTCAAGAATTCCCAATATAGAGCCTTTTTTCTTAAAAAAAACCCAGCATTCTTAAACATTGACCAATTGTCCCAATGTTTCCTTTGTGCACACATCTAGAAATAAAGCTGTGACCAAAGAGTCTCAGTTGCCCAGTTTTTAGCAAATAAAAGCCACCAAGTGTCTCCTTGGTATTCAGAGTTCAGATGCTTTCTAAACTTTCAGCTCCACACATGAAGCAAATTAAATGCTCAAGACTTCAGGGAGTTATTGACCCTGTGAGTAGGTCCAAACAACTCCTTCTATTCCTATACAAAGCCTGGCAAACCCTTTTTCTTAAGGGTTTCTTTTTCATACTTTTTCTTAAGTAAATAATCCTTCTTTTTGCGCTTACTGAATGCTCAGAAGTTAGAAATTAATTGCAGGTAGTTTATTTTGAAAATTTAGAAAAAATTCTAAAGGTGACACACAGCTCCATAAACAGATCAAAAAGGATAAGGGCAAGGAAACAGAGTATATAGATCAATGGAAACCTGCTCTAGGCTCTGGTGGAGCTTTGGTTTATTAGGATTAGAACAACATCAAAAGCTTGAAAAAAATATATGCTTATATCTACTGTGCAACAGCAGTGCTAAATATAAGCAACTGCAGAGTACCAAGCATCTGCCATACATGCTGCTTAAATACCAATGACTTAGTGGAACAGAAAGGGTGTGTAAACTGAAAATGGCAGTGGGAGAGTTTGGGGAAAAAAGAAGTGGCTCATCTTAACAAAACTACTGTACTTCACACAACTCTACTTCATTTGCTAGACTGAGAAAATCAATGTCTAAGAATATGTCTTCTAAGCTGCTCCAGCTTATGTCTCCACAAATTCATTTTAAAATGGACAGCAGTGCACATACAGTGAATGAATAGAAGAGTCTGCAGGTGTTTTTGTCCAAGTAATGCACCTTAGGGTTATATTTTCCATGTGCTGGAAGCTGTAATACTATCAAGCAATCAGTGAGTAAATTAAGGTACTTTTCAATGAAATTCTGTCATTACTATTTTGTCATTTCCCTTCATTTCTCAAGGGTTGACATTTTTCAGCACTGAGAAACTATTCTTTTAATTCTCTAAGTGACTTCAAAAATAAACCACGTACAATTTAAAAAAAACACTGTGCATTAGTGAATTAAAGTAAAGTTACCATGGAATGTGTGTGGAAACACATTCAACTTCCATTAGAATACTGAAGGTGTTTGTTATATCTGTGTTTTATAACTGATTGCCAGATGAACTCACAATAATATGACATAGCAGAATACTTTAGAAATGTTTACTCTAAAAGTGTGTATACATTTACATGCTTGCATATAATATGCAGAAATTCAGCCTCAATTATAATAATAAAACAGAACACAAACTCTGAAGAAAAAAAGACATAAAGCAGTAATTAGAAGAGCAATAATGTACTTTGATTAACTATCAGCTACAGATATAAAACCAAATTGTAATTCTGGCAATTTAAAGAACAACTGTTCCTTGATCTTTATCTTCTTGTTCAGATGTTGCCCATAGGAAAAAAAAAAAAAAGACAACATCCAAAATCAACCAGAGGCAATGAGCTATGAAGTAACTGATCTATGGACGGCAAAATAGCCTTCTCACAAGATACCAGAGTACATCAGACAAATTCCATACTAGATGAAGTCCAAGTAATAAGTCAACATGAACCAACTTTGAAACTAAAACTATGCATCAATAATGTAAGAGCTCAAAACTAGGTCAAAAGATAAATTATGGCCTTTTGGGGCTCAAAACTTATAGCAAGAGTGGCCTTGTTTGTGCTATCACAATCCATTTGTTATAGGAAGATAAAAGAAGAGTTCCAAAAGTTAATCAAGGTCACAATTATTCAAAAATGCAGTCACCTGGTACTTTGTTTTTTCACCAGGGGCAGGACGTCTGAAAATAGACAGGTAAGACAGAGACAAAAGTACAAGTGCAACTGAAAGAGATAAAATAACTCTCTACACTCTTTAACGACTGATGACTCTGGTTCTCAATATCCAAAAAATGTGGGATTGACAGTGGGGGGAGGGGTGTCATGTGCTACTTAAACTCTTTTTCTTGGATGGAATGAAAAGGGGAGACATCTGACTTCATGCTTCTAAACCTCCCTATTAAAATTGCCTCAATGATAACTGTTATGCATTTGTTGACAAAGACTAGCACTGGCCAAGTGTCAACATGATAGTATGACTTTTTCTGAATAATTAACCACCTTCTGTGCTCATCCCCAGAAGTATGAGGTGCTGCCAAATACACCTTTGGGAAGGTTTGCACAGATTAGATTTTTCTTTCATTACCTAAATTTATATCATCCTCTCCATTAAACAGAAGAACACTCCACAGATATAAGGCCTTCTCAAACAGAATGAGAAAGATAACTAAGCTATTTTACTCTCTCAAATAAAAGGATTTTTGAGTTCTCTCTTAAAAAAAATAATTAAGTATTTAAGAGGATGGTTCCCAAATGAAAACTAAATACATATCATTTTGATTTCAAAAGGAGTGGCCTAGGGAGAACTTGTGGCACAGAGTACTAAAATACAGAATCAGTAGTAAGGGAGAAAAGCAAGTTGAACTCCCCTAGATACAGAAACACTCACTGAAAATTTAAAATCCCACAGCAAAAGCAAATGATGCTCCAAGCATTTTTTCCAGGTGCTACATTCATCCAGGAAAGCAGAAAGCACTGGTTTCACTAAAATTCAAATTAAAGAGAAGTTAAAATGGTTTTTGAAAACTTTAATCTGTGGTCTGGCTTCTTTAGCTCACACTATAGTCTGTGTGCAAAAGGCAGACTATTTAACATCAGTAAGCTTTTGCAATACCTATCATAAAAACTAGAGTATCTCAAAAGAGTAAAACAAAATTTTCACATGATGAGGGTTTATTATGCATTACTATTTGCATTAACAGATTAAATGTAGATTCTTCCCTTTTAATTAACTTACCTGGTTGATAATATGTCAATAAGTTCTTTTCTGTTCTGGACTCTGAGTGTATTAGTTTTGTATCTGGAATCTTTACTAACTTCAGGCAAGTTCAGGATCTAAGTAAAAATAAAGGTAAGTAAGAAATGTGCTTGGCAGGAGATACAGATAGAGCAATATAGATATAGATATAGATGATATAAATATAGATGATATAGATATAGATATGGAACAAAATAATTACTTATTTTTTAAAATCACTGATTTCTAGTAATCACTATTTATCAATCATTTAATTTTAAAAAAATTAATTATTATTTCTTTTTGTAAAAAGCCTCCTGGTTGATGTAACATAACAAGTAAAGGAAAAAGACAGAAATCAGACTGAAGATTCACATTTTAGCTAACAGCTTTTGGGATTAGCCAGGAGAAATTCTTACCATAGAACACTAAAAAAGTAAGTTATTAACATGGGGATGGATAGATCTGTGGTATTATCCTGCACTAACTTATATGTCACAGAACAAGAAATATGTCTCTATTTCATAAGCTAGACAAGGAAAATATATGTCTAAGATTATTTCTTTCCACTTCAGTAATGTCTGTCAAAAAAGCAAAAATGAAAAGGAAAAAAGAGAAAGAAAAAGAAACAAAAAGAGAAGGAAAAAGAAGAGGAAAAGAAAAACGAGAGGAGAGGAGAGGAGAGGAAGGGAAGGGAAGGATTTTTCAATTGAAACACCATTGGTCTTCTTTATTATTTTTTTCCAAAAGAATTAATAAAGAACAGTGGCTGTAAAGCCTCTGAGAATGGAGAAATACATCTTTGATGTGTAACTTCCACCTGCCACATTAGAACTTTAAACAACATGTGAAGACCATGTGTATTATACTATAAAGGGAATCAAATATGCAAAATAAGTCTTAGAATTTTGTACAGGCATTCATTAGAAAAATCAGCTGTGTGGAAAATCAGTATAATTTACCTATTTGTGTCACAATGACTTTCTATAGAACATAAATAAACAAAATTAAATGTGATTTCTAAAACTACACCAATTACATCAGCTACAGAGAAAGGCAGCATAGAATCCTATAAAAAAGAGACTGTCACATATTCTTCATGTACTTTTACTCACTATTACACACTAAAGCTCACTTTTTCTTATGATGAGTCTTATAATCATTCTAAACATGCTACATTTTTATAGGCCCATTTATAAGATGGCTTTAAAATTACAGTGGCTCAAATCTGAAGTTCCTATAGCCCATCATTCTATCTCTGCCTGTTTTCTGATGCTTAGGAAGAGTTTAAGAATAGGGACAGTACATACAACACTTCCTTAATATTCATCCAAACTCCAGTCCTCTTTTGATTAGGACATTTCTGAGTGGAAGGTGTTTTCTACATATTTAGCAATCATCAATAGATTATGTTTTATTAACATGTTCAGTCGCTCCCTGAATCAATATGCTTGTGTACTACCACAGGGTGTCAAGTTGGTGTCAATCTCTCTGATATTTGCTTCAAATATAACATTCTACTAATTCCTCTGACACTGCTTTAGACCAAGGCCACAATCATTTAATGACTCCTGACTTTGCTGGAGTGAATAAGGATACAGCTTCCTTTACAAGTAAATAGCTGTTGATGACATAAAACTATTAGCAAAACAGATATTCTTTCAACAGATATTTAGAGATATTAAAAACAGATAGTCATCTTTGAGATTATTTTCACCTAGAGTAACAAAACTAAGCATGGAAGCTAGGTATCTGTAAGTTATGCTAGAACAATGGTGATCTTACAAAACTTTTCTGCAAATTTTTATCTGCAAGGTAACATAAAACATCAATCTAGCATCTTCCATCAATATTTAATTCACAGGATATTTTCTTTTCCTTCTGCATTTATATAATCTTTTCCTTTTGCATTTATATAAACTATATTATTTATATAATATAGTTTATGGAAATCACAACATATCATAAATTATCATTCGGAAATAGCTAAATTTTTCTGTATGGAAGTTTATCAATACTGTTGGTACCCCTTTAAATTATTTCCTTTTGTTAGTACTGCTGGTTTGGAGTTACAATTCACTGCTTTAGAAAAAAAACCTGTAAGGTTGTTCAAATTAAATGATAGTGAATACTTATGTGAGCTCAAAAAAACCCCAAGAAATTAATCAGAAAGCTATGGTTCCATTTGATGAGTTATATGAAAAATGATCATATGGAGTTGCTCACTCCGCTGTTTTAATTAATGTTACTGATTTCAGCTTTAACTTAATGTCCATCTGGTGTAAAGCTGCATGTCTATATATGTTCTTCTCAATTTTTTTTTGTGACTAACAAATGCACACTTGAGAAGTTATTCATTAATGTACCATTCATCTTTCTGCATCATGTTGCCAATGTTATTTTCTTTATTTCACTGTGAACACTTAGAATGAAATGGTGTTCTCTATTTGAGGCCTTGTTCAAGCTCTACATACACACTCATGGCTCACACTCCCTGTGGTTTTTGTCCTGCAGCACTGGCAAATCTGTTTGAAATCTCCCTTGCTGTACACAAAACTTCAGTTTTCTGAAGAGTCTCGCTCACTATTCCTAATCAGACCAAATCAGCCACAGATCAGGATGTGCTGCTGTAACACTTGACCACAATGAAATGCATTTTAACCAGCAGTGTTACGAAGTTTTTCTTCAATTATCCAAGTCCTCAAACAAGCTGCATTAGTTTTCATTGATTTTGAAAATATCACAGTGAATTATTCCAGATTTTTGTTTCTGCTTGCCTGAAAAGATATAGTCGAAGCAGAATGTTTGCAATTGTTTACAGCTTGAGCCAGCTGTTACATCTCTATAGTATGTGCCTTCAGGGCAACAGCTTCCATACAGTCTCTATTTTCAGCACCAACTCAGCTGAGAAAGATTCTCAAATAGAAATTCCAGTGTTAGAAATAGTTGTCTCTGTATTCACTAGGATGCTGCAGGCCTTCATGTATGAAAGTTCTTTTCCCTTTTTGGCTTTCCCTCTTCACAGTGTTTTAAGATCCAAACCACCTTTGACTTAGCACAGAGCATATCTCTAATAATGAGTATTCATTCCAGCATTCCACTGATTTCTTCATTATTTTTTTTTTCTGGCAATGTAACAGCCCAAATCCATACCTATAATATCCTGATAAGGGTAAAAAGCATTCTTTGTAGAAACAGATACGATAACTGGTATATAGAAAAATCTAACAATTACTCAAAACTTGAACTATTTTTTCTGATTTTTTAATCCCTTTGAAATGTAAGCAATCATCATTTTTCCATGCTCTGTATCTCTTATTTTCAATTGCAGGAACAAGAGAACACATTTATCAAGATTACAAAAAAAACTCAACAGCCTGCAGACCAGGGCTAATATTAATCTCACTTAATATTTATCCTATACATTCTGGAGTAACACAAACCATTAAAATCTTGTTTCATCTTCTGGGGTTCCATTCATTCTTTAATGATTACAGAGAGAATATGTAGCAACAAGGCACACCGTAATTCTCTCAGCAGCACCCTAAAATCAGGTATAGTACATGATCTATAGATTTAGTGCCTGCTTGCTCACATCAAGATGTCAGAACCTACTGAGATGGATCTTCAGCTCTGTCTTACTCAAGGATGGCAGGACAATAAGCATTTGCTACATAATTCTTCACTTTAGATGATAAAGTACCAAAACATTCACAGCTATGTCCTGGGACACTCTGGAAAACATTCCTTTAGAGATAATGAGTCTTTAATAAAACTGAGTTGTGCCAGGTAGACACTTATTCAGCTATTAGTCTTCATTCATATTAAGATAATGATGACTGTAGTTGTCAGATACCTTTATGAAGAAAACCCACTGAGCAAATTTTGAAGAGGTTAAGAGCCAATTCAAAGTGAAAGCAGAGCCCCTCCACATAGTGAGGTGGGGATACATACCCCAAACTGTACTAAAAGAGTATCAAAATAGCACAGTCCTCTTACTACATATTTGTTATAAGTGGTGAATTTCCACAGAAATGTGAAATATCTGACACGAACAATTGGAGGAAAATAATGCTCAGTTTCCTGAGTGTCATTAATTTATGTTAAATATCCAAGTTCCTAGAGAAAAAACACAATGGCCAATATAGCTAGAGCTGTAATTTTTTTTAATGTTGTCTAATGCTATATGCAAAAATTCTCTTGTCCCATCTTACATGTTACTGGGGTCTTTTATTTGGAATGTTGATGCATTTCATTTAGAACAATTTTTTTTTAAGATTGTTTTTCAACATCATACGTTTGCACCACTCCAAAATCAGCCCAGAGTCCTGTAACATTTCTTTTCTGAGAAGTCCACAAGTTTCTCAGTGAGCACGTGCTAGTGCTCTAAAGGACAATGTGCTTGGATAATGATTTAAGTAGAAGTAGATTCAATCAGATGTGCACAGACGTCAAAAGGAGTGCAGTACCTACAAGTTTTAGAACAGGTGTGTTCTGAATTCAGAGGCAGAACAGCTGCAGGTTAGAATTTATACTCACCACTTATTTCCATACAGAAAAAAAAATCATAAAGAAGAATCAGCGTCTTAATTTTCCTAGTGAAAATGGAATCTATTACATATTTCTGTATTCTTGCCCAACACACCTTGCACACAGTGACAAACTGATGATCATTTCCAGCTCCCACTACGATGTAGCCATCCTTGGTCTTGAATGCCTGGAAGAACAAGGACAGGTGATAAGCTGTAACTAAACTATAAAATATTAGCACACCTTTGAAGTGAAACTTTGTAAATAATGTTCAAATTACTTCCTTAAATACTTCCATTCAGACTCAATCTCTTGTTCTATAAAAGTGGCTCAAAGTCATGCATTCACAAAAATGGATGAGGCCCATTTTGAATTTTCTTCCTAGGGCTGAGAAGTTATCGTGGTTAATAGTTTATTTGCTAAAAATGTGTCATGAGCCACCCTTAAACTAAATGTGTCCCACATTCACAGGACTGAGGATTACCATGATAATGTTTACTTGCCAGGAGTTATTTATTCAGCTTCACTCTTAGCCTGACTCAGAAGACAGCTGCACTGAAATGTTACAGATCCTGACCAAAATGTTACAGATCCTGACCAAAAAAAAAATTGCCAAATAGTAACTAACAATTAGGAACTTCCATGGGAATGAAAGGGATAGACTGCATCTTTACAGCTCTTCAACTGGAGATAAGGCTATCTTCTTAGTAGTCTCAAGATAGATCTCATGGAGGAAATGGGACTTCTTGTCCAACTTTAAAGATGTAAATTTTACTTTTGACTTCATTACAGTGGCCTTAGTGGCACATTTCATGGTGAACACAATATCGAACTGGGTAGGACATAACAGCTTTCATTTCAGTCTAAGCCATCTCACTTAGATTTTCACTGGAAAAAAGAAAATCTGTAATTGGCAACATCCTCATTTTTTTCCATTGTGGTAGGGCATCTTCTAAAACTGATAATGCAATTCCTATTTTCTCCACACCTCTCTCTTATAAAAAAGGTGTATAACTGCAGTTTCAGTCATACATATTACCAGCCCAATTTTTGGAAACATTTAGGAAAAATTCTTTCACCATTAATTTAACTTCAATGTAAGAAGCCAGCATAGGCTTGTGCACTAATGGTGGCAAGAACTTGCAATCCTTTGCAGAGAGCAAAACTCATCTTCCATTCCTAGAAATCTTTCTTTTTTTTTTTTTCTTCCTCTTTTTTTAATGAGCTATCGTGTCCTCATTTACAGGTGTGAATTTTCACAATAAATTTGGTAAAATAATACACAAATATAAGTCCTGGAATGGAAACACTTTAAAATTCTTCCCATACCACTGTGGCTTATTCTTCTTCATAGAGAGCAATATGCTATCTCAACTTGCAATCTTTCATATAGATACAAATATGTTCACAAAGACTCTTTTACCATCTGGTACAGTCAAAGTTTCAAAATTGCATGTGGACAATCATATCCTCTCAAATGCAGGTAACTGTGCATCATAGTTAAAATATCACCTGTTTGCTCTTTCTATGATTCATTTCATTGTAAATACTATTGTCCAGTCATAAGGTTTAACACTTTATTTTTCACACATTTTATTAAGTAGTTCAGTCTAAGATAGCAAGCAAAGATAAAATTCAGCAACAATTAGTCTGAAGTATGCAAGAAAGTACCACTGACTTTGCCCCAATACAGTAAAAGTTTTGTAAAATACATAATGTAAAGGTATTACATACTCACACTGAGAAGAGTAGTAAGCAAAGAAAAAAGATTGGAGAAAAGAATACAAAAAGAGATTTGTATGTGAACACAAATATTTCTCAGCTAAATCTCTTCATAAAGACCTCAGTCTATAAAAATAATGGCAGACCCTGGTAAAAGAATATGTAAGACTCTCCCTCCTAGTAAACGGCCTTTAGGAGGAAAAATTATCAATTAAAACTGTCCAAATAAACTTACTACCTTTAGTTACAGGCAAAATCTGTTTTCTAAACCCCTACCTAAATCATGATTTTTCTTTACTGATGTGGAGAGTTCTAAAACCAGCCTCATGCAAGTCACACAAATTATGGGTCAAACACTGCATGCATCAGTGTGCATATATATCACAGAATAATTTTTATTGGTGCAACTATCTACTACTTCCTGTAAACACAAATCAGAATTCTTTTGTACATTCTTTTAAGGTTCCAGTCTGGATGCCTGATACACCTTACAAAGTATATGTCATATGTAGAGATCCCCCTCCTCGGCACTCCAAATTGTATTTATATTGGTAGTGTGGGCAAATCTTAGAGAGTTTATTATTTATCAGCAACTCCTGTTGAGACACACATCTCTGTAAGAAGGCTGCAATCACACAAAGGCTGCATACCACTGTGAAGCATGCATCTGCACCCACTGGCTGCCCATGCAGCAGCGGAAGTCACTCTAAATTTAAGGGCCTGGTTATTAGCATGCTTCAGTTGCTTTGTGGAATGTGTGGGAAAACTGATTATTCTTAATTGCACTGTATGTCTAAAAAGCTAAAATAACAATCATGTCATCCTTACACAACAAAAATGGTATCATAATAAATGCAGCAGTGTCTTTTTCCATGAAGCTTAACTCAAATGTCTTCAGCTGCTATTTTAAGCTTCCCATTACAAAACAGCTGATTATTTGCCAGTCATTGCTGCTGATAAAGCAGAAACTTCCAAATGTTACTAGCACAATATTGATGCCAACATTTAAGGGTGACAATCGTTTTATTCATCACCCATGAAAGTACACACACTACAGGTTACCACAGGTTACCATCTGGTCACAGAAAGCTTCACAATCTTATTATACAAAGGAGAGTAAGGGCAAAGTGCAGACAGATTTTAATGAGACTTTGTTTTGATAAACTGCTGTCCATCACATCGAATCATTTCACATTAGTGCAATAAAAGGCACTACACACACAAGGCAAAAGTCCTTTTCCCCTTCCCTTTTCTTCTGAAGAATGGGGCCTTCTGATAAGATTCTTCAGAGTACAACCATGAGTTAACCTGCTACTCCCATGAGGTAGGATATCTTGAGCAATAGCACATCATTTGTGCTATTTCTTGTGCTACAAGAAAAAAATACTAAGCAAAAAATTATTTGAAATCTTATTCATGGAAAAGGCTGAGAAAGATTGTGAGCATTCAAAGGTGTAGCTTTTTCAGAGTGATGCAAAAACTTGAGGGTTTCCAAGAAAATAACTGGTAAATTCCCATTGAATGATATTTAGTGCATGACATCAATAAATGCACGTTCAAAGGCAGATCTCAAGTGTATATGCATCACGACCTCACACTGTCAAATGGATATTCCAGGACCTTATTAAGACTCAGCACTTTTCCAGCTTTGATCCTAGAACACAGTATATGCCTGAGATACTTTGTGTATTAAAATACTTTAATTTCCCTAACATGTGGCATATAAACTCTATCCACCTTCAGGAATGCTTTATGTGGTTTACAAGTATTCTCCAAATCCAAATATGTTACATAGACTACACAATAAAGATGCAGGCCAAACTTAACCTAAGTTTTTACCAGAGTAAGCAAAGACTTGCTGAGCTAATGAGGCCAAAAAGGCCTTTCTTTCCACTGCTCTAAGTCAATAGCCTTTCAAAATTTGCCAGCTTTGAAGGCACTAATCTTTGTATTTATTTCCTGCTTTAAAAATTTTAAGTCTATGTGTTCTATGCCAATCATCAATCATACACAAACATATTTGCATGTGTTTCTATCTGCATGTTGATTCCACACCAAAACAAACAAACAAACAAACAAACAAAAAAAGAACCTTTAAAATATAAGGGGCCAGTCAAAAAATATGGTAATTCCAACAAAATTATCGGAAGTCCAAGTCAGTTTTTGGGTTCAAAACATGGTAACCAAAATAACTAGAACTAGAACAATTTGCAGATATGTATGGCAATGGTCCCCTTAATCTGGTATTTATACACATTCAGAAGATCTCCTTGAGCCTCCTCTCTGATCCTTTAGGCTACACAGTCCCAGATCTCTCCTCATATGAAAGATGCTTCAAGCCCTTAATTATTTTCTTGGCCCTTCACTGGACCTGATTCAGTATAAGCATGTCCTTGTCCCAAAAACCCCAGAATGAGACCCTGTTGTGAACCCATAACTGGATTGAGTGGTTATTCATCCTCAGTGGTGCTGAGCAGAGGGAAGGATCACCTCTTTTGACATGTTGACAATTTTCCTACTAATACAAATGAGGTTGATGTTTTTGTCAAAGGGACACATTGCTGGCAAAAATGTTCCATTTTTTGTTCACCAAGATCTCCATGTCTTTTGTGCAAAGCTGAATTCCAGCAGGTCAGTCTCAGTCTGTACTGATGCATGGGATTATTTCCTATCATGTGCAGGACTATATTTCCCTTTGTTGAATTCCATTAGGTTCTTGATGGCCTGACTCTCTAGCCTGTCACAGTCCCTCTGAATGGCAGCATGATATATCTTGGTAGATCATGTATCAACCACTTTTCTCTATTTTCCACATTCCACAGATTTTGGAGGCCAAACAATACTTGAAGAGACCAACAGAACAAAGCATTGGGTTTTTACAAATTGTAGAATTATTCCATATTTAGGAGAGGTTAAAAGGAGATGTTAATTATCTGAAAAAGTGATTATATTCATTACCATTTAACATACTGTCCTGTTTACCGATAATGGCTGTCAGTCATTGAAATATTTGAATGTTTGCAGACTTCCCCTTGGCAGAACATTTGTACTACATCAGATATGGTAAAAATTATGTATTACTCATATTTCTGAGTTTTCTTATCTCATATTCCAGTGTGAATAACAATTAAGATCTGTGGAGATACTTAAATCCCTTTTCATTGAGAATACCTGATGTTAGATACCCTTGGATTTGAAGTATCTTTCAAGACAGTGCTGCCTTTTGAATCATAAATTTGAATAGTAGCATTCCTAAAAGCAAGCAACTATGAATCATGAGGGGAACAGTTGAAAATTATGGGATAGTCAATATGTATTGGCGACTTCTGGAATGGGACTTAAAGGGACTTGAATTTTTGCATGCATTCCAGCTGCTCTGGGTCTTACAGAGCAAGAGGCTGATTGCTTCAATTGGCATCATCAAACAGCTTGCTTAAGATTTTGGAATTATGGTATCCTTGTATA